TAGGATGATTCTTTCGGCATGACGTCACAAATTTCGTCACCGACGATTTAATTTCAGGTTACGCGTCAAGATTCCACATCGAAAGACATGAGCTTGTGGTTTGTTCGCGAGCAGTACACAAAATAAGTTGAAAATTTTGCACTTTGAATGTTTACATTGTGTTTCTCTCCGTTTAGAGCATCATAACTTACTCAATTTTTATCGTAACAGAATTGTTCTTTCGGCGCCGTGTCACAAATTTCGTCATCAACATTTTTGCTTCAGGCCGGGCGTCAGGATTTTGCACCGTGTATCATGAATTTGGGGGTTCGATGTCGACTGTGTTTGAAATAAGTGGAAAAATCAATATTGTCAAGCCAAACAAGACTTTGGAGCCATACTATATATTTTGAAATTCAAATTTCAAACACAATAACACTCATTTTCACAAACTTCTCCCAATTTCCTCTCAACTCTCTCTAAGATCAAACAATACTCCTTCACTTTTCTCTCAAATTTCTTCCAAAATTCACAAGATCACATTCAACAAAAACAACAAAAACTCATAAAAACTTCATAAATCTTCATCTCTCACACTCAATTTCCGCAAGCTACTCCTACCGTCCCTCAATCCGACGCAAGCTTCCTCCGGCCTCCAAGAATTCCGACAAACTTCCGCCTCTTCCTCCCGTTCGCTCGATTGTCTACGGCGCTCTCTCATCCTCTCCGTTGTGGCGATTCTCCGGTGGTTCTCCGGCGATTCTCCATCCTTCGTGTGACTTTCCCGCAAGATTCATCTCTTCTCCTTTGATTACCTTGCTTGCATCAATTTTCGCGTATTTGTCTTTAATCAGATGATTGAGGAGCATTGGCATCGATTTCGGTTGAGTTCAAAACAACTTTTTGCATATTTTGTTAATGGAAACAATGTTGTCCGATTTTCTTTTTAACATGTACATTGTGATTTGATATTCATATAATGCATGTTTGCGCTTAATTGTTAGATTATTGACCATTGAATTTGAGTTTCTTTGCCTTAAACACGATTATTTGAGTGATTCCATGAATCGATACCATGTTGCCCGATTTTGTAAATTGAGATTCAAGTGCGATTTAATTGTTGATTCATGCATGATTATACTTGCCTTGGTATTTGTGGGACATGTGCATTGAGTTGTTACGATTTTAAACCAGTATTTTGTACGATTCATGAGATGATATATATGTTGTCCGGGAATTAGTTTTGTGGTTTTGTTGCTTGTTCGACTTTGCTTCATTCATGATAATATGTCATTTTTAGTTGTGATGTTGATTTTTTTATTACAATTAATTTTCCTTATTATTTTCTAACTCATCTTGGGACATTGTGCAAGTTTCGGAAGGCGATTCGTCGCACGACGCATTTGTTCGAATTATTCTTTGCTTGTGTAGCATTGTTTTGTGTAGGATGTTAGCTTGGCACGACGCGCTCAATGCTTGTGATTTATTTTCACATTGCCACATTTTATTCTTATATTGGATATTGATTCTGACTATTATGTTGTTGATGCTAGCTTGCTCGAAGTTTTCTGGGTTTCTCTGCTTTTGCTTGTTTGTTACGAACTCTTGTTCGTTTGGTATTGTACTGATTCTGGTTTTTTTTCTGCATCACATTTTCTTTTTCTTGCCATGAGAAGTAGGAATGTAGATGCATGATTGGGAGTCCCTACTTTAGGTGGGAAAATTTGTTTAAATTCCTCAAATGAGGCGATATTTGTTTTGCAAAGTCCTTAAAAATAGGCCATATTTATATTTGCTTGTGTGCAAAAGACCTTAAAGCTTTGAGAATTTAAGGAAATTCAAAGTTATGGTTGAGAGGCAAAGTGGCAGAAAATTGAAAGTTCTCGGAACTGATTGAGGAGATGAATTTACATCTACAAAATTATCAGAATTTTGTAATGAGCATGGTATTTGTAGGGAGTTGACAACGCCATACACACCTGAGCAAAATGGAGTCGCCAAGAGGAAAAATCGAACTATCGTTGAAATGGCTAGAACTATGTTGAAGGAAAAATGGGATTCCAAATGATTTTTGAAGTGGGGCAGTAGCTACATTTGTCTATATTTTGTATATCTCTCCGACATGGAGGGATAAGAAGTCTCTGGTAAGTCACTTAAAAATATTTGGTTGTATAATGTATAGCATATGCTTTGGTTAACCTTCGTTCTAAGCTCGATGAGAAATCTGAGAAGTGTATATTAATTGGTTATTCTTCTTGAACCAAAGCATATCGTCTAAATAATCTTGTTGGTGGCAAAGTAACTATTAGCAGAAATGTAGTATTTGATGAAGAATTATCATGGGTGTGGAACTCAATGGTTAGTGTCACTTCAGTCCAAGCTCCTTTAGATATGAAGGTCCAACCATATCAAACACCTTCCTGTCCATCACCTTCCACACCTGGTCAACAAGGATCTCCTAATTCGTCAAGCTCTTCTAGCAGCAACTCATCAGACTCCTCCAGCAGCAGATCGCCAAGAAAATTTAAATCTTTGAAAGAGATATATTAATGTGATTTTGCATTATTAGCTTCTGATCCATGTCATTATGAGGAAGTTGCAGATAAAGTTGAATGGCAGAATGCTATGGCAGAGGAAATGCAATCTATTAAAAAAATGCAACTTGAGAGTTAGTTGATATTCGTGAAGGGGGAATGTAATTGGGATGAAATGGATATGTTGCACAAAGTACAATGTTGATGGGAGAATTCAGAAGCACAAGGCTCGTCTTGTGGTGAAGGGTTGCACAACAAGAAGGTATTGATTTTGATGAAACCTTTTTTTCTATAGCGTATTTTGAAATTGTTCGAATTGTTTTGGCACTCGCTGGTCAATTGCATCTGCATGTATTTCAAAATTTGATGTGAAGTTTGCATTTTTGAACGGAGAGCTACTAGAGGAGGTTTATGTTTACCAACCCGAGGGATTTTTCTTTGATGGTTGTGAAAGAAAATTTATAGGCTGAAAAAGGCGCTTTACAGGTTGTGTTGAATAAACTTTAATGTTATAGTTAGTGTGTTTCTATTAATAAGTTAGTGGAAAGATTAAGAGCCTGTTGTAGTTGGAAGGCCAAGAGATAATGGCCTATAATAGTAGAAAACTTTGAGTCTATATAAAGACCAGCGTTGTATTCTATTTGATAAGAAGTTATAAAAGTATTACTTCCTTCTATCAAATAGGTATCAGAGCTAATGGCAAAAATGATGAATCAAATGTTGTTGCCACGGCTAACGAAGTCAAATTACGAAAACTTGAGTATCCAAATGAAAGCTCTTCTTGGATCTCTAGACGCGTGGGAGGTGACCAAAGATGGGTTTGAAGAAGAACCAACAGATGTTGCGGGATATACGACAGCTCAAAACAAGGCATTGAAAGAGATGTAATTGAAGGATGAAACATCACTATACATGTTGTTCAGGACTGTTGACGAATCAGGCTTCGAAAAAATTGTCGGTTCGAGAAAGTGTTCAAAGGAGCACACCGAGTAAAGCAAGTTCGACTCCAAACTCTTTGTGGTGTATTGGAGAGGATGCAGATGAAGGAGTCATAAACTGTATCCGACTACATCACGCGTGTACAAAAGGTGGTGAACCAACTCACAAGAAATGGTGAAACAATAACTGATGCACGAGTTGTTGAAAAGATTTTGAGATCTTTAACCAATAAATTTGAGAATATTGTGTCATGCAGTATGGTTTAGAAGATTGATAAGAAAAATGGAGTTAAAACAGGAAGGTTCAACAGTAATACAAGTGGACAATAAATCAACAATTGAGTTAGCAAAGAATCCAGTAAACCATGAAAGAAGCAAACACATTGATGTTCGCTTCCATTACATTCGAGAACATGTGAAGGAAGGAAGTGTCGAACTGAGGCATGTAGCAAGCAAGGATCAAGCAGTAGATATTTTCACAAAACTATTATCGAAAGAAATTTTCGACAGAAGCAAGAAATTGATAGACATGATGGATAGAAGAAATATTTAGGTTTACAGAGGAGTTTTGTTGAATAAACTTTAATGTTATAGTTAGTGGATTTCTATTAATAAGTTAGTAGAAAGATTAAGAGTATGTTGTAGTTGGAAGGCCAAGAGATAGTGGCCTATAATAGTATTTACTAATGTTATTTATTTTCCTAGAATAATAGAAATCTTTGAGTCTATATAAAGATGAGAGTTGTATTCTATTTGATAAGAAGTTATAAAAGTGTTACCTACTTCTATCAGGTTGAAATAAGCCCCACGAGCATGGTTCAGCAAAATTGATTAATTTTTTGTAAACAACATATTCTTGCGAAGTGAAAATGAGCCAACTCTCTATTTAAAAAGGACATGTGAAGATGACTTTATGGTGGTTTGTTTGTATGTTGATGATATGATATATTTTGGCTCCTTAAAGTTGTTGGTTGATGAGTTTAAGTTCTGCATGATGAAGACTTTTGAGATTTGGGGCTGCTACAATGTATTTTGGGGTTAGAAGTGAAGCAAGAAAAAGTTGGCATTTTCATTTGTCAAAAGAAGTGTGCCACTGATCTTTTGAAGAAATTTTAGCTGAGTAATTGTGTGGCTGCTGCGACTCCTATAAGCATAAATGAATGATACAATACACAAAGAGATAGATTTGATTCATACGAAGAAACGCAACAACATATGATTCTGATGAATGTAACAACACAAGAACTAACAGAACCATAAAAAACTATGGCAAAATCTAACCAAATTGAATTTCTAAGCTAAGAATTTCCTAACTAACAGAACCATCAAAAACTATGGCAAAATCTAACCAAATTGAATCTCTAAGCTAAGAATTTCCTACCTAACAGACACATAAAGTGTTGAAAGATAAAAAAACAATTATAAGTGATATACAACCAGATCAAAATTGAACTACACAGAGCTTCTCTAAGACAAAAAATTTATAATAAATAAATGCATAGCTCCAAAAGTTTAGCAGCAGCATGAGAGTATGATCTAGTTGTGCCCTTCATCTATTGGCTGCTATGTCCAAAACCTTCTCCTCATCATCTTGTTCATGTGATTCTCCCTTCAAAGCAGCATTTAGTTCCACCTCACCTTTCTCAGTGTCCTTGCTTGTTATGAGATAACGGCAAGCAAAGAAATGGAAATAGATAAAATTCAAAACTCCAAGAAAAGCAATCAAATAATAATAGTAATCAAGCTTATTGTGATTCAAATCGCGACCGCCTAACCACGGTGTTTTGGCATGTGATGTTGCTTTATGAACAATATTGACAATTAAGGAACCAATGTAGTTTGCAATGGACAAACTCAGAAAGAAGACGGCGCCAGCGACAGTTCTCATCGACTCCGGCATTTGCAAGGTAAAGAATTCCATTATAGCGACAGCAGCAAAGGCTTCGTTTAAACCTGACAGCGCGAACTGCGGAAGGAGTAAACCGAAGCTCATAGACGAATCAAACGAGGCGTGTTTCAAAGCCGAGTCGCGACGTACCTTCTCAACAATTCCAGCTACCAACATGCATAGGATAGATAAGATGATCCCAATTCTGATTCTGACTCCCATGCTCATTCTTTTGGTAGGCCTTTTCTTGATTCTCTTCATTAAAGGAAAGTAGATACATTCGTAAATGTATATCCAAAATGAAAGTGCTATCATTGATGTCAGGTTCATCCACCCTGGTGGAACTTTGAAGTGTGATCCAATAGACCTATCAGTTTGTATAACTTGAAGAACACCAAACGTGCTCTGTTGATCCATTACAATGAAACAGCAAATTCCTGTCACCCAAACTGGTAGAATCCCCAACAAGCATTTCAAGTGTTCCACTTGTTGCAAACTACAAAGCTTCCAATCATTCTTCGCAAATCCTTCATTGTTCAACTCACTTGGATCAACAATTACGGCCGCCTTATCAAGAAACTTAAACCGATTCGTTTGAACAAGCCTAACGCTCTCCGAATCGGACACTCTTGAAACAGGATCATACAAAGTCCTATCCACAATCCGAATCTTCCGTTTTCGACACGCTGCTGAAATCACCTTCACCATGTCAGTAAACACACTCCCTTGAGGCTCTTTGCAGATGTAAGTTTTCCGGCCTAACAGAAAGATGGTTATTGAGAAAGCGAGACAGGCGGTCGGAATCGCGAACCCCAAAGCCCAACTGACATTGGTTTGAATGTAGACAACACCGGTGAGTGCTATAACAAGTGCAACGGTGAAAGTGAAGTACCACCAATTAAAGAAACTCTCTAATTGTCCCCTTCCTTTTTCAGTTTTGCTGTCGAATTGGTCGGCACCAAAAGCAATGTTGCATGGCCTAATTCCACCAGCACCAATGGACAAAAATCCAAGACCTATAAAAAGAACTCCTAGCTGCCAGTCTTGTGCATGCTCACAATTAGGTCTGTCACTCTCCTTGCATGCATCAGGTCTCAATCCATTTATACCAGCAGTTAGTGTCATCACCAATATACCCTATCATATAACAAACCATTAGGAACATGCTTCAAGGAATTCTAACCCTAGAATTATACAGAATGAGAAAATGGCAATGACGATGAATAAGTGCATGCATGCATGCATGAAAAATTGGCAATTACGTGCAAATAACAACTGAGATGTGAAATTCCAGAATTACCATGAGTGACGCAATACAGCCATATAGAAGGGTTCGAAACCTCCCAAGATAAGCATCAGAAATGAAAGCACCGATTATGGATGCAATGTTTGAGGATCCATTCCAAATTTGCACCGTATTAACCACGAATAATCCACTTAGGTTGTAGTTCGTGAGAAGATACACTGTTAGATTTGATATCAAACTCATCGATGCCAATTTCTCAAACGACTCATTCCCTTAATTAATAAAAAAAACATTAAATTAAGAAAAGAAAAACATGTTTGTAACAACAATGAATGTAATTAATATAAATATACCGATGATATATTTAACAGATCTCCATCCTCCAGCTTCTTTAGGTGAAGCTTCTTCTCCATTAACTGCTATTGGTTTAACATGTTCTAGCTCGAGTGGAGAAGGAGAAGAATTAGTGTTCTTTACATTCTCCTCCATTTCTATTTCTAACTCTCTTCTACTCTTTTTCTAAATAATAATAATAATAATAAAAAAGTGTATATTGAATATTGATGTGTATATATATAAATAACACATGCACTTCTTACTTCTTTTTTTTTTTTGTGTTGTGTGGTTGATTCATTCAAAACAGTTAAAATGAATTTTGAGAATTTTTAGGTACGTGGCAATTATGAAACAATATAAGTATTATTAGTTTTAAGTTGTTGATATTAACGTTGTATTGGGTAGAGAGTGAGAGTGGATTTCATACGTGCTTTCAAATTTGTTGGAATCATATTATTAGGTTGAAGCTGTTGATATTTTTGACTTTCTTAACTTTTTATCCTATTTTTACGAACTAATATAACACACTATTATGACTTTTTATCCTAGTTTTACGAACTAATATAACACACTATTATGACTCATTTTTATGGTGACATTTTTTACTTTCTTAACTTTTTATCCTATTTTTACGAACTAATATAACACACTATTATGACTCATTTTTATGGTTAGGGTAACACAGTATCAAGTGGAAAATAATTAGGGTAGGATATGTTTTTATGGCAGATTGATCAATATCAAACCGTTCAGATTCAAATAATTTTTTTAATAAAGAATAAAATATAATTTTATATGATTTTCATATTATCATATCAATTTTTATACAAAAGTATATTATATAAACAACTCTATGTAAAGAGTTAAAATAGTTTGTAATTCCTAGTAATTTAAAGTTCGTATCGAAAAATGAAAATATTAATCAATCATTATTTTCACTGTTAATCAAACTTCATATTTTCTAAACATTACTTCCATAAAGCAATTTTTAAAAGTATTGAATCTTAAAAAAAAATTATACTCTTATTTATGTTAACTAAAAAATGGTGATATATGTTCAAAGTAAGATGATACATTTAAAAACATGGATATATTTTTGAGAAAAAAGTTAATATAAAAGTTTTTTTTTTCATCCTAAAACTATATCTTTTCAACAATCTAAAACCAACTAGATTTTAAAAATCACATTTTCAAAACGAAAAATACTTCCTCCGTCTTATATTATTTGTCACAACTATTTCATACAGATTAAGAAATAGTAATAAATAAAAAAATAGTATTTATAAGAGGGTACAATTAAAAGATTAAATATAAATTATATTGGTAATTTAAAGTGACAAGTATTTTGGAATTTTTTTTTTATAAATGTGACACTTATTTTGGGATGGAGAGACTAAGTTATAACACCCTAATACAAAATGGAATCCAGAATACACAATAGAGAAGAAGATGTCGACAATGGATAGAAGCAAATTCGTAATAGAGGTTGGAGGACTAAAGGATGCGGGAAAAGGGAAATGGGATGCATCTGCAAGTAGGAGGAAGAAAGGAGAGCATCAACGAAATGTACACTACAACATTTAGGCTCTCCAGCAACAATTGAAAAACGTTGCCAAAACTCTGAAAATCGTTGCCTAAAACAATAGGGGAAGTCTCCTGTGCGAGCGTTGCCTATTGTTTGAGGCGACGTTTTTTTATGTTTTTTGGGAACGCTTTTGAAAAACGTCGCCTATAGTAAAGGAATAGGGGACGATTATTTACGGCCTCTGAGACAACGTTTTTTAAGCGTTGCGTTGCCAAATTCGGCTACAATTAACAATCGTTGCCTTAAACCTGAATCAGGAAGATCGTTTTTGAAGTGTAGCCATAGCTTATAGGTTGTTGTTTTATAGTGTCCACATAAAATATACAATTTTCCAATTATTATCAAAATAATATAGTCAATAATAATTGGCTTCAAAAATAATATTGATTATATGTGTTGACCTTGCTTCCCCACTTTGAAGAAATAACTTTTGAGCACTTCCCAAGAGAGGAGAATCAGCTAGCGGACGCACTGGCTACGATGTCTTCAATGTTCAAAGTTAAATGGGACAATGAAGCTCCCCGGATCATTATCTTGAAGTTGGACGAACCGGCATACTGCTGCGAGCTTGAGACTGAAAAGGTGACTGAAAAACCCTGGTATCATGAAGTGAAGAGGTACTTAGAAGCTCAGGAATACCCTGAAGGTGCATCTGTCAATGACAAGAAGTTCATGAGGAGGTTTGCGGCGAAATTCTTCCTCAGCAACGGCATTCTCTACAAACGGAATCATGATTCAACTCTACTACGTTGTGTGGATAAGGCCGAAGCAGAGAAGATCATGATAGAACTGCATGAAGGTACATTTGGAACACATTCCAGTGGACACACCATGGCTAAGAAAATCCTTCGGGCAGGATATTTCTGGTCCACAATGGAAGCCGATTGTTACCAACACTCTCGAACTTGTCACAAATGCCAGATCTATGCTGACAAGGTGCATATTCCTCCAGTTCCTCTGAACGTCCTGACGGCACCTTGGCCTTTCGCAATGTGGGGGATTGATATGATCGGTGAGATCCGACCGACAGCATCCAATGGGCATCGCTTCATCTTAGTGGCGATCGATTACTTCACGAAGTGGGTTGAGGCAGCTTCCTACGCCACAGTAACCAAGAGCGTCGTGGCACGTTTCATCCGGCATAATCTGATCTGTCGATACGGCGTCCCGGAGAGAATCATTACAGACAATGGTACCAATCTCAACAACAAGATGATCACTGAGCTCTGCGAACAATTCAAGATACAGCACCACAACTCTTCTCCCTACCGGCCGAAGATGAATGGGGCTGTAGAGGCAGCTAATAAGAATATCAAGAAAATTGTGCAGAAGATGACAGTGACCTATAAAGATTGGCACGAGATGTTACCGTTTGCTCTTCATGGGTACCGTACTTCAGCCAGAACGTCAACCGGGGCAACTCCTTTCTCCTTGGTCTACGACATGGAGGCAGTCTTGCCAATTGAAGTCCAGATACCCTCTCTCCGGATAATGAAGGATGCAGACTTGAGTGAAGATGACTGGATCCAGACTCGACTTGATCAATTAAACCTGATTGACGAAAAGAGACTCACCGCTATCTGTCATGGTCAGACTTATCAAAAACGGATGATCAGGGCATTTAACAAGAAAGTCAGACCACAAGAGTATCAAGTTGGGGACCTGGTAATCAAACGCATCATCCTTCCTCAAAGTGATCCCCGGGGCAAATGGACCCCTACTTACGAAGGGCCATTTGTGGTTAAACATGTGTTCTCAGGAGGAGCCATGATCCTAACCACCATGGATGGTGACGACCTTCCTCACCCCGCCAATGCAGACATAGTGAAAAGATACTACGCATGAATAAAAGACCCGCTAGGTTGACATACCTAGGCAAAAATAAGGGCTTCCCGGCGAACCAAAAGGGTTCGGGCAAAAATAAGGGATGAAATGAAAAAAAATCTGTACACCCGGCAAGTCGAAAACCTGAAAGGGCGGCTTGGGCAAAAATGGGTATCCCGGTGGACTGAAAACCCGAAAGGGCGGTCCAGGCAAAAGTTAGGGATAAAGCGTAACACTATGTCTCATTGGATCACCTCGCATCCGGAATTCGGCATCAACTATCTGGCTCAGACTTCGGCATCGACCAATCAGCTTCATCTTCAACTAGGCAGCAAAGCGACGAGACGCTTGGAGACATAAAGGCGATAGCAGAGTTGGAACCCAGTGGGATTGTTCACATAGCTGTTTTGTTTTCTTTTCAAAATTTTAAATTCTGTGTTATTCGGCGGCATCCTCTTACTAGGATGTCAGCCTCTTGTACAAAAAACGCCTATTCACAGGCAAAATTCAAATCAATACGAATTCACTTGTCCATACAAATTGTCATTGTTTTCCTTCTTTCTGTTTTGTCTTGCGAAGAACGTCTAATGTTCATCTTTGATATATGCATTTGACATTAAATTGCTGGTTCATAAAGATTTGCATAAGAAACAAAAGATTAATTACAGATGACATCAGAAACAGGGGCAATGCGGAATTGTCTGATGCAGTCCGGTCGCTTTATCCGCCAAGGTACCAAGGTAGATTCGACTGAAGAATGTGACCAAATGATCTCAGCTCCCCGCAGAGTAAGGCAAGATTCAGCAATACTTTCCCCAGTGAAGTCGTCAACTTTCCCCGGCAGGTCTAAAAGCTTATCCCCAGTAGATTCTGGAAGCTTGTTCCCTGCAGAATACGGACGTCTCTCCCGAGCTTTATTCAGAGTTATTCCTCACCAGGGCCTATAACTGGGTTATCCTCAGCTATTTGCCATAGAAGATCGCCCTCGACGAGGTTCTTTTAATCCCCAGCGGAGTTTATCTTTGGTATTCCCCAAGCAGAGTTTATCATCATTATCCCCAGCGGAATCCGTCATTGAAGTCCTCGACAGGCCCCTCGTCAAACTTTTGCAAAGTATCTCTTCCACAGAGCAATTCCCCGGCCGATCGTCAAGGATTCATTTTCCTAAGACAAAGATACACTCATAAACGTTTCACATTTCATACATCTTGCTTACGTACATGATAAAGTGCATACAACACTATCTCATGTTGAACATCATGACATCATGCATATTATACATCATGACATTGCATACAATTTATGTTTTGCCTTTTCAGGGAAAAAGACAATCCCAAAGACAACTACCTTCAACTGTCACAAATTCCAGATTCGATACCTGTATCTAGCCAGGGCACATCTGAGAGTGATCAGTTTCCAGACTCGATTCCTGTATCTAGCCAGGGCACGTCTGAAGAGTTCGAAGATTCGATTCCTGTATCCAGCCAGGGCACATCTGTCAACTACAACATTTCCAGATTCGACTCCTGTATCTAGCCAGGGCATATCTGTTGACCACATTTCCAGACTCGATTCCTGTATCTAGCCAGGGCACGTCTGAAGAGTTCGAAGATTCGATTCCTGTATCCAGCCAGGGCATATCTGTTGACAACTATTTCCGGATTCGACTCCTGTATCTAGCCAGGGCATATCCATTGACGACCATTTCCAGATTCGACTCCTGTATCTAGCCAGGGCATATCTGTTGACCACATTTCCAGACTCAATTCCTGTATCTAGCCAGGGCACGTCTGAAGAGTTCGAAGATTCGATTCCTGTATCCAGCCAGGGCATATCTGTTGACAACTATTTCCGGATTCGATTCCTGTATCCAGCCAGGGCACATCTGTGAGCAACCATTTGTAGACTCGACACCTGTATCTAGCCAGGGCATATCTGCATAAAGAGATTGAAGATCAAACACCTGTAACAAGCCAGGAAAACATCTGTCTTTCTCAAATACACAAGTTCTCGCTAAGGAATCTCTTATGCGATCAACACTTCCAAATGGCATCTATAAGCCCATTCCCGACAAGCTTCTGTCACATCTCCAGATGGCATCTATAAGCCCATCTCCTTATCCACCATCTCTCCAAATGCCATCTGTAAGCCCATTCCCGACATCACATTGTTGAGACTCCAACATGCGAGTGCAAATTTTCGGGCACTCTAGTGTCCAATCTTCTTTTACCCTCGAGTCACGAAAGGCAAACTTGCCAATCTAACTCTTCAGGTTCAAGAAGATTGAACAGGGGCAACTGTTGTACCCCAAAATTTTCCCTCCCATTTCCTCAACATTTTCTCATCACAAGGCCTTTGAAGATCAAGAACCATAGGGTTTCCTCTGCTCAAGACTTCTCCTTGCACTGTTGACCCAAATTAGGGTTTGTGTTTGCACAAAGATGTTTTGACCTAAAAAAGCCTAAGATGACTTTCATGCTTCATGTTGGACTCCCAAGTTTATCCATACCAAGTTTCAAGTCTTGATTCCAAGTTTTACCCAATCAATTGGATAGTTGACCTAGAAATCAGCTGTATTGGGGAAAAAGTCAACTGTGGCCAATTGACAGCCAAATCTCATGAAAATTGACCCACATCAACATTATGAACTCATATGGACCATTTGATCAAGTTTGGATCATAATTCCACAAGAAATTTGATCAGATCACCAAAAGGGCAAAATGGTCATTTTTAGGGTTTTGACTGCACAAAGGCATTTTTTGACTGTTTGACCTAGCCAATGACAAACCAAGCTCACATATGGACTCAAGGACCCCATGGAATTGTCTTGACATGTTCAACAAACTCAAAAGATCCCAAGTACACAAGATTGACAGTTGAATTTCCCAGTCAATTGATCAATTTTGACTGTATACTGAAAAGTCAAACTTTGACTTTTTGGTCAAAATCAAGAGTCAAGATTCATTTTTCATCAAAACATGCCAAATCATGAAACTTGTTCACCAAGAAACCAAGAAATGCAAATTAGGGTTTGAAATGGAATTTTTCATAACTTAGAATTTTTCTAAGTTATGGAAAACCCTAATTTTTCCCAACTTGGCCCCACTTTTTCACCAAGATTCATTTGGATTCAAACAAAAGTCAAAACATGAAAGTTGTAGCTTGTTGCATAATATACAACTTTGATTCACAAAGTTTTCCCAAATGAGGCTTGTATCTCAAGTTACAAATTTTTGAATAAGGGCACTAAACCATTCATAACTTAGTGAAAATTTGACCTATTTTGACAAGGTTTTCTACCTAACTTCAAGGCCATTTTCCATACACTTCCACTTGGAATTTCAATTTGCACTTCAAATATGGATTGTAGTACACATTCCAAGCTTTCCAAAATGTCCAAGAACTTCTCAAACAACCTCATGGTTAGGGAGAATCGAATTTCACAATATGGCAAAAACTCACTTTGTTCATGACCAAGTTACATGTCCATAACCTTGCAATTTGAACTCAGCATGCCTTAAGCTAGATTACAGGTCTTTTATCTCATCTACACTCCATAATTTAATGCCAATCCTTTGTGCCAAGGTGTTGTTCTATGAGTTTGGACATTGTATGCAAGATTAATCCATTTATAGATAAAGCATAATATCCATTCTTGAAAAGTTGCACTTTATGTCAAATTGAAAATCCAACAAGTACATTGCAAATCTGATTGGCACAAGATTATGGACAAATCACACTGATCAAGGAGGGATTATGCAGCACATTAGGGGTCCTCTACTGACCTAGAAACACAAGTTGCCTTTGTTTGCTTAAGAGTGAAGAAAAGTACCATAACTCACACCAACTCTCATCTCAGCTTACAAACCCTTAGACAAAGTTATCAAACAGATTCCACACAACACAACCAAGCTAATACACAAGCCCTTAGCCTTCAAAACACTCTCAATCTCAGAATCACTCTCAAACTGCAAAAACAGGGCAAGGCCTGCAGTTTGAGTATCATCTCTCAATCCCTTCAAGCATTCTTGCCCAAACCAGTTCACATACACCCCCTAACATCTATGCAAGCTAACCAAAAGCAAAAACACGATCTGTAATCCCTCTAACTGGTTCCACCATTTTCACTTTTCTGATTTGCAGGTGAAGTGCTATAGTTCGATTCAAGAGGTTTCAAAGCAAAGTAACACCTGGAATAGCATCCCTGGACCTCAAGGAAGCTATACCAATCATCACTTTGCACTGAAAGCTTCTCCATAGCCAGATAGAACTTCAACTGAACAGGTAAGTTCATGGATTCATATCTCTCTTATTAGGCATTGTTAGCTTTAGGTTTGTGAAGAAAACATGTCACAATCATAGCCCTGAACATGCCCATATGATTAGATTTCATTTATATTATGTGTGCTTAGAGAATTTTATGTCTGAACATTGATAAAAAATTAGGTCAGGATTTAGGAGAGAAGAAACTCTCTCTCATTTCTGAGAGTTAGATTGACTTCTTTATATGTCTAGAATCGTGGTTTCAAGCTCTACAGGTTTCATGTTGGAAGATTTGGCAAAAGATCAAAGAATCAGGAGTTAAGGATTGGTGAAGAAAGGCGCGTATTTTTTGAATTTGTTTGGTCTGAAGGTTGAAGACAACCATTTTCTGGGCTGGGCCTGTTTGTTATTCCTTTTCACACCATGTTTTTTGGCTTTGCACCCCCAAGCCCATTTCATTCATTTTAATGTTTTTTTTTTTTACTTTTCTTTTTTTGGCCTGATTTAATTATTTTTCCTCATCATATATAAAACACAAAAATATTTTTTTATACCATTTTCCTATTTATTAGATATTTATTTAGTTAGATTAGTTATTTGAACATAAATAGGTAAATAAATATACTTTTATTTAAGAAATGCTAAAGTGGTGTAAATACATTTTTATTTTTATTTTATTTCATTTTATATTCTGAAAATATTTTATGTGAAATATACCTTTTTTACAAAGATTAAATATTATTATTTTTGTGCATATTTAAAACAATTTGTGAATAATACAAATAAATACATATATATATTAATATACTTAGAATAAAATACCAAATACACATATTTTATTTTATTATTATTAAACACTAAAAAATCATTTTTTTACAAATATACTTTATTTTTATTTTATTTTTGTACACAAATAATAAATATTATATATAGTGAATAATAATACATTTTATTTAATAAAATTAGGGTTTTACCCTAAATATGAAAATACTCCAAAAAATAATATCTTTTTATTTTCTTTTTATTTTACATAAATAATACTTTTTTCATACATATAAAAATTCCTTTTTTTGCATTCTTGCATATTTGTTCTATTTCTATTTTATTTATGCAATTAAATTATATTGTAAATATCCAAATCTTGATGTAATAGTTTTAGGTTTAAATTCCTTGTCAAAATCCCCATTCAAAACATTGTACCCCTCCCTATATTATTGTGTTGTAATAGCATAGGAGTTTAAATTTCGCACTTTATCGCTTTCTAAATATACAATGCTAGAATTAGGGTTTATATGCGAATAAAACGAACAAAAATAGTTTGACCTAATACAAGATAAAAAAGCATGAAAATGGACAACACATTTCACACTTGCACCCCTAGGGTATTCCACTTTGTTGCCTTCAAATAATTGGGCCATATCGCATGTTGAAATTCTTTGGGTAAAACAAATAACCAAATGATCATAGTCCCTCAAAATGTTGCCTAAATAAAATGATCAAGTCCCTTTTAAAGAAAAATTGCCCAAAGACATTTAACACTATTGCAATTATGGTCTAAACGATGACCCGCGCCCGTCCCTTTCACATCCTAACATGAGATTGTCCACCAAATACAATGGTGGAACAAACTTGTCAAAAGGGTTAAAACATAGCAATAATCTTTGAGAAATTTAGGAGTAGATAACCTCTTAGTTACTTGAATCAAAACTTGCAAAAACAAAACACTTGCCTATTTTCTAAACCACACATCACAACACTTTCAAAACAACTTTCAAAAACAAATGAAAAACATTTTCAAAAGACTTACACCTTTGTATACATCCCAACATGGATCATTACAAAGGTTTCCACCACATTGGCTTCTTTTCAAAACATTTTCAAACCCATACACACACAAAGCACCATTTCAAACAATTGAAAACAAAAGGCAAGTTGATCTAAGCAAGTAACTAAGAGCCCATGGATAACCATGGATAGAAAGGGTGCTAATACCTTCCCTTTCTATAATCTACTCCCCGAACCCAAGAAAACATCTCAAAGGTTTTTGCTGTGCTTTTTAACCTTTCCTTAGGATAAAATAAAAAGTCGGTGGCGACTCTTGCTCAACCGAAACATTTGCAAAAACAAACGCAAAACCATAGTCAGTTCTCCCACCGTATCACACTTGTGCTATCCTTTTATGTTTATTTTTTGGAGTAAATGAACTCTGATGAACACTCTTACTTGTTGTATCTTCTTTGGTGTTCAGTATCATATGGATAAATTTACAGCATACATAGTGAGTGTTATCAAACAAGGGGGTCCCATAATCTTATCTCAGGCAAGTATGTTTGTGAAATATCAATGAAAGCTCGCACAAATAAAACAGTTTCAGCCACTTCTAGGTGTTGTCACTACTTAAACAATTTCAACCACTTACTTTATTCTAGGTGTTGTCACTACTTGCAAATTTTTGCATACATTAACAACCATTTTGATACTATAACATAATTAGAAAAATATAAATCAATAATATTGGTATATATGGTTACCTTTCCATGACATGGAGCATGAGTTGATGTAGATGAATGCATTTGCGGTCTTATATCCTTTGGGGAACTATTAGCATCTCCATGAGATAATCCTAACAAATCTTCAATTGACTCTATATTAATTTGAGGATTGCATTGTTGTATTACGGTCTTAAAAGCATTTTGCAATCTATCAATCTTATCTTGAAACTCGTCCCTTAATGTAGAGACGTCTTCACTTTGGGCTTGTTTCAAAGCATTAATCTCTGCCTTTCTCTTTAAGGAAGTTTTAGTTATGTTTCTCCCATAACAGCGTACCCTGCCTGGACACTCCTTTCCAAAAAAAACTTTAAAAGCTTCTGTATCACTTTCCTCCTTTTCAACCATTTCTTGAAGTTGGGACTAGCATAAATTACAAAAAAAAAATATTAGCTACTATTATAGACAATGTTGGCCGATTATATGAAACAAACATATTATATAAACAATGTTACATACAATTACTTTTCTAGTTTCTACATCCAGTTCCTTTCCTTTATTTCCTTTTCGAGTTTCAACAAACATTTCTGATTGAGTGGGCTCTCTTTTTTCCTTTTCACGCTGCACAAATCAAAATAATTCCATAACAAATTATGTGAATTAAAATTCCTATTCACGAGTCAAAGAAAAGTTTTTCACGAATACTTTAATTGAACAAAGAAACATTCATACAAGGAATAATTTATTGAGAACAAAAGAAAGTTACCACTTTTTCACGAGTCAAAGCAAAGTTTTTGGGACCCATTCGATGCATCCACTTTAGTTGAGCTCTATTTCTAGTGTTATTTTCACTGATTGCCTACATTTAAATTTGACAGAATTATTATAATAAATATTACTTAATTATGACATACATAGAAAGGTGTAAATTCACACACATACATAAAAAAATTATTAATCTTACTTGTATAGTTTCCTTACTCCAATAAGCACAAAGACTCTTAAACTGGGCTATTGGCACGTTTGGCGGACGATTTTTGAGTCTCTCGGTCATGTTGGAATACTTCAAAAAATGATTCTTCTTAATTTTGTGCTTATATCTTCTCCATGCCTCTCTAACAGTGGTCTCAATCCAATCCCGTGCTTCAACCGGCAAGATAAACTTCCGCTACATAAATTATAAGATAAGACAAGATCAAGAAATGAAACACTTTTTTTTAATAATTAGAATAAATTGGTGAACTTTTAATCTAAACATGCACAAAGTCAAAGTCCAATATCATTATCAGTTGCCTTCATGGATATTTTTTTATAAATTATCACATTCATACCAAATGTCCAATATCAGTATACTCGTTGGGTGAAAACTAGCATCATGTAACAGTTACACTCAAAATCATGCCTACACCACAGCCCAAGAAACAAGTTTGCATCCTATACTATAGTTTTTGGTGTCTTAACCTTAACTGAAATTTATAATGTTATGGTCTGCATATTCTATTGGTTTGACCATAAGTTATCTATCTGGATAGGATTTTGAGTCTCGACACCAATCTAGGTACATAAAAAAAGGGGGGGTTTAGCATTAGACAACTCTATCTGAACTTCTCAATCAGTCTTATGCAGCTGTCCTGTCCCTGTACCCAATACATACAACTCTTTTGCCTTCCTCTGAATAATCTATAGTTGATCAATATATTCGGCCGAAAAGAGGATTGCCAACCAACTTTAAAATCAAACAATGAAACCCTAAGAGCAGTGCAAGACTCATACTTGCTTGCTACCAAACTCAAAAAATATGAAATAATGGCATACATTGAAGTTTCCTAAAGAAGCATATGACAATGAACGACATACATAGTATGAAATCAGAGACATGGTGCCTACTTGATCTTCCAAAATGGAGTTAAAATGGTTGTCAGTATAAAATCTTTTTTCATGACCATTCCAAGTAAAATAGACTGAAACAAATATCTCTCTATGACATCAATAAATTAAACAAAGAACCTCACTTGCAATCACTAACTAGTCGATAAAGTAAAAGACAAGGACACTTTAATTGTATTATTTCCCTAAATAACAGTTTTAACTTTCCCATAAGAATAATAAATAACAGAGCCAAAACGCATGCTCAAGTTCATTGGGATAGGAATCCAAACCATCAAATGGATTTTTCCTTTTCCTAGCTCCTTGACCATCACCTGCCACAAAATTTCCTAACTCATCAAGATCTAACGGAGGAACAAAGTCACATTTGCCCTCTTGCTTGAACATTCCCAAAATCAACTTCTCATCAGCAGTTGCAGACTTTCTCTCTTCTTCAGTTAGTTTGACGCTTCCATCTTGCTCACTGGTCGGTGATTGAAAAGGCGTCAATTTCCCCTATTCAAAAACAAATTAGAAAATTTCATCCAAGAAAAGAAACACGTGCTTTCGAAACGAACAACAAATAAATGAAACAAATCAACACACTTCAACATATCCCATATATATTAAATCAGCCCGAAACCCTAAGAGTAATTTTGGATCCAGAATTTTACCGGAACGGTTTGAGGGACTGTTGAAGAGTTATGAAGTTTGCGATCGAGGAAGTGAGTAAGCGATAAACGAGTGGAGTCGCTGTTAAGCGAAGCTTGATTTCTCGAACTTGCTTCGGAATCATGAGAGTTGGATTCAGCGAGAGTGAGAATGTTGTGAGAAAAGTGATGCAATTATTGAAGTTGAGGAATGGAATGGGATAGAGATGACTTACGGATTTGGTGGGAGAGAGCGGAATGCTTAGGTGATGGATCATTGTCCGAAAACCCTAATCGGTGTGGGTTTTTTAGGTTTTGACTTTGAGTTCACCAATTTCATGTAACAATCTAAAAATGTCCCCAAAAATATTTTAGGGGACAATTGTCAAACATTGCTAAAGAAATAATATTTTAACGCTCTAAAATCGTCCCCAAAAGCAGTTAAGGGCACAATTAACAACCGTTGGCAAAAAATAAAAGAGTATCGCTCCATAAACGTCCCCAAAAGTATTTTAGGCGACGATTATCAAGGGTTGCAAACATATTTTTGACAACAATCGTAAATCGTTGCCTATATGAATTTAAGGCAACAATTTCTACATGTTACCTAAAAAAGTTTTGCCAGAGACAACAAATGTTGTAGTGGTATCAAGTTTCTTTTCACTAAGTTCTCAGACTCTCATGGAGCTAAGGAGATGTACAAGATTTTTAAGAGATATGGAGAAATAGATGAGGTGGTGATACCGCCTAAGTGTGATAAGAGAGGTAGGCGTTGTGGCTTTGCAAGAATTACGAATGTGCTTGATGAAAAATTTCTAGTAGTAAAGTTGGACAATATTTTCATCAATAAGAAGAAGATTTTTTCAAACATTCCAAGATTTCAAATGGGTATGAGGGACAACAAAGATCAAACAAGGTACAAGCAGAAGATTGAAATTGTCAATCAGAAAAACAACTATGCCAACTGTTGTACCCCAAAATTTGCCCTCTCATTTTTCTCAAGAAATCACCCTGAATCCTCAGGTTTACTTCCATTTAATCCCAAGTTTTGAATTATAAATTTTTCATGAAGATCACTCACAAGGGAAAAATGGTCATTTACACACTGAAAGACCAAACTTTGACCTTTTGATCAAAATCAAATCTCAAAGATCATATTTCATCAAAACATGTTGAAATAGGAAGTTTGTTCCATCTAAAGTTCAAAGTCAAATTTACTATGGAAAAACCAAATGTCTAAATACTTGGGATTTTTCTAAGTATTTAAGAAAAAATGACAGTTCAGAAGTTCTGAACCAACCTCCAGGCAGGAGCAGCCAGAAGTTGCAAACTTAGCTCAACACATAACCTTCAGCCAGAATGTGGCTCTTCAGCATCTACGCAAGTTCAGCCAGAGTTTGCCAGGTTAAAAACAGAAGATTATAAAACGTGATAAAAAATCTGAATGCTCTTTCAGAACATGCTGGAAAGCCTAAGGATCCCTCAGAACTTGCTAAGGCAGCAGGATACCAAGATCAGAACTTGGGTACTTTGTTCTAGACTACGTTGAAATGGAACTTCTGGCCTAAATTTAGTCAATGATGCAAAATCCCCCATTACAGGATTTCTGATTTTGACAATTCTCATCACTATTTAATGCTCATTAATGCACACAAACACCCTTAGGGTTTCTCCACTTGGTTGCCTTATACAAAAATAGCCATATTACGCATGCGAAGTATCTTGGTAAAACAAACAAAATCAAAAGATCATAGTCCCTCGATGATGCTATTTAAGGTTGCCTTACAAAATGATCTTGGTCCCTCAAAATGCTAAGATACTTTGCAACATTGCTAATCATGGTTATACGATGACCCACGCCCGTCCCGTTTACATCCAAAGATAGGGTTGCTTATCAAATCGATGGTAAGACAATAATGTCAAAGGAATAGAAATGCATAAGAAAGACATTTGAGTAGGTAGATTGCTTCTAGTTACTTGCCCCCATCTCAAAACAACTATCCTTTCTATTTTAAAAAACACACACATTTCCAAAACATCTTACAAACATTGAAAACATTTTCAAAAAGACAAACATCTTTGTACACATTCTTACCGTGATACGGTGGGATAGAACTGACTGTTTTTTTTGGAATAATGGTTTGCGTTTTGTGTTTGTTTTCGCAAAATGTCGCGGTAAGAAAGAGTCGCCACCGACTTTTATTTTATCCAACAAGGAAGGAAAAAAGCACAGAAAAATTCCTTTTTTGAGATATTTCTCAGGTTCGGGGGGTAGATTATAGAAAGGGAAGGTATTAGCACCCTTTCTATCTGTGGTTATCCATGGGCTCTTAGGTACTTGCTCATATTGTTTTCAAAATGGTTTTCTTTGTGCTTGTGGGTTTGAAAGAGTTTTTGTTTTGAAACTTCAATTTAACTCTTGCTTTTGTCCTCAAGAGCGTATGAAGTGTTTTTGAAAACTTTGTTCGAAACGTGTAAGTGTGAAAAGTTTTTGTTTTTTTGAAAGAGAAAGTATCTAAGAACCATCTACCTACTCGAAAAAGGAATCGTTCTATGCTAATTTCCTTTAGACAATGATATCCTACTATTGATGAGTAGGTAGCATCGTCGTTGGAGTTTAAGGGTCAATTTGAATGTGGGACTTACGGTCACAAAAGCAATGTTAGGACGCCTTAGCGGTAACCCTAATGTCTTAGATCATTTGTTTTGAGGCAACAATATCTGAGGCGACCATTTCGAGGAGACTATGATCTTTTAGACAAGAGGGCGATCTCTAAAGTGACCTATACTCAATGACCGCATACGAAGGCAACCAAGTGGGGTGTACCCTAAGAGTGCGCATGTGCGAGTGTGTCGTTTTCAGTTCATTTTATCTTTGTACATGTTAGGGGTGATCTAAGTTGATTTTAGGTTAAAACATTCAGTCTTGTCATGTCATCCTATTATCAAACATCTAACAGTTATATTTTGCAGAAATAAAATGCGGAATTTAAATTACAAGGCGTCAGGTATTTACATCGCCAATGTAAGATAATTTAGGCCGTGCCTTTTCATTCATGTGATAGTCATTTATATACACAGTACAAATATGTGGTTATGATTCTAATAATCATTGGTAATCAATACTAATAATAATCTTTCTATATTTACATATCTAATACACCCCCGTAGTCGAAACTGGAGGTGAACGAATGTTGAGACTATCACGAAAGTCATCAAAGAGTTGCAACGGAAGTCCCTTTGTGAAGATGTCAGCAATCTGAAAACGCGAGGGAATGTGAAGAACGCGTACTTGACCGCAAGCAACTTTCTCACGCACGAAATGTATATCCATTTCAATATGTTTGGTGCGTTGATGTTGAACAGGATTGTCGGAAAGATAAACCGCGCTGATGTTGTCACAATATACCAGAGTAGCTTTTGTGACAGGACAACATAGTTCCAAGAGTAAGTTGCGTAACCAACATGATTCAGACATAACATTAGCTACGCCTCTATATTCGGCTTCGGCACTTGAATGAGACAAGGTATGTTGGCGTTTTGCGGACCATGAGATCAAGTTGTCACTGAGATAAACACAGTAGCCGGAGGTAGATCTTCTTGTGTTAGGACAACCGGCCCAATCTGCGTCTGTGTAAGAAATGAGCTTGTCGACAGATCAAGGGTACAAATGAAGGCCAAGATCTACGGTACCATTAATGTAACGAATAATGCGTTTCAAGGCAGACATGTGTTGAGTTTTTGGATCATGCATAAATAAACATACCTGCTGAACTGCATATGAGATGTCTGGTCGAGTGAATGTTAAGTATTGCAATGCTCCGGCAATGCTACGATATTCGGTTGGATCATGGTAAGGGTTACCGGATGAACCACTGAGTTTCGCCTTTGTGTCTACTGGTGTGAGGGATGGTTTGCAGGAGGACATACCAGCTCGTTCGATAATTTCTTCTGCATATTTCTTTTGAGAAAGAAAAAGGCCTTCGGGATGTTTGGTGACAGAAATACCCAGAAAATAACTTAAAGGCCCCAGATCCTTCATGGAGAATTCGGAACTCAATTGTGCTTTGATACCATGTAAGATAATTTAGGTCGTGCCTTTTCATTCATGTGATAGTCATTTATATACACAATACAAATATGTGGTTATGATTCTAATAATCATTGGTAATCAATACTAATAATAATCTTTCGATATTTACATATCTAATAGCCAAAGACAAACCCTTTAAAAATAAATAAAGCGATAAATAAATAAAAGTCATATTTACTATTACAAACCGGAATCAGATACATAATAGGATAAAAGAAAATGGATTGCGTGCGGGAAATTAAATCGAGCGCAAAGATTTAGGGTTTTGACCCTTTTTGTTAAAGAAAAGATCTTTTTTTGTTGTTTTTATTTTAAGAAAGAAAATGAAATTAAACCTAAATTAATTACTAAATTAAATTAATTAAATTAATTAATAAAAATAAATTGTTTTTTTTTGGATTTTTGGTATTTTAAGAAAGCAATAAAAATTAATGTTAGTAAAAACCTAACTAAATCTAGTTGAATTTTAATTATTTATAAAAATATATTAAAGTTATTTCTAATTAATAGCCTAAATTAAATTAGTATTTGTTAAAAAAAGAAAATTAAAATTTGATTTTATGAAGAAAATATTTTTGTGGTTTTAATTTTATAAAAAAAAAATTTTGATTGGTTAATAATTAAATGGAAATAATAAAATAAATAATTAAAACAAAATAAATAAAATATATATAGAGAGAGGTATGGGCCTGTTTTGGGGGTCAGAATAGCAAGCTGAAGGCCCATTAAGCGCTGACCTTGTTGACCTTCCTGGATCTGATGTATGCGCGTTGACTGGATCTATGATGGACCCTCACTCCTGGATCACCAGATTTGGCCTTGGCCCATCTGGCACTTTGATATGTGAAGGAGTATGGTACACTACGCACCTGGATCTGCATGTGATTACCTGAAGAAAAAATATATTGAGAAAGTGGAGGACCTGGGATTCGAACCCATGTCCTGTAGGCGTTTGGAGTGCTTGCTTGCCACTGGGACGCTTTGCTTCATTTATACATATATTACACAAAAATAATAATATGATAAAACAATATTAATTGGTCAGAAAATAAAATAAACGCGCCATTATTTGAATTGGCCATTGGGGAAGCGACACGCCATCGTCCCCTACCTCCAACCACTGTAATTTTACCTGCGGATTTAAATCCGCAGCTAAAAGCGCAGCTCGATCCAAAAATCAACTCCAGGCCATAAAAACGACCTTCTAAGACATGGTTAGGTTCGTCTCTCTCTCTCCTGAGTTCAACCATGCCTATTATAGGAATCAATTTCACCTGAAACAAAAATCCCTAAAAAACAAAACGTAACCCTAGTGTTGTACCCCAAAATTTGCCCTCCCATTTCCTCAACATTTTCTCATCACAAGACCTTTGAAGATCAAGATACAGTTAGGGTTTCCTCTGCTCAAGACTTCTCCTTGCACTGTGGACTCAAATTAGGGTTTGTGTTT